CCTGGGAGATCATACCAACAGAAGATACGATTTTTTGGCAATCATACCGATGAATCGTATTATCAAATTGGGGTTGTGAATAATTTTCGAAAGAAAGTTATTCGAGAGATAAACTCTCGCTGTCCCTGTGCACGACTCGTCAAAACAGCATTATCAGAATGTGACTGTTTCAAACGAGAAATCATCCCACGAAAAGTCTCTGTATTATCAAAGCCTAAGCTGAGACATTTCCGCAAAAGTGATGAATTCCCTGAAGTCACCATCAACGTGGCTGATAGAAGAAAGTCTAAACAGCATTCAAGTGACTCAAATCCCGACTTTTCCCCGAAAGGAAAAGTCAATCCAAGAATTGCTCAAAGGATGTCTCGACTCCAATTAGGAGCTATCAGACGCAGAGACTACAAGAGAATGCAAGAAGGAATGTCCTCGGAGGATGAATTCTCGGACACTTATTCTGCAATCGCTTCTGATGATACAATGTCTAGCACAGGACAAATCAGAGAAGTATTCACAATCACTGCTGATCAGTTCACTCAAATACTTCAGGAAGCTCTAGCCAAACAACGTGAAGAAATTAGAGCTGAAGTGAAGACAGAAATGAAGTTGGCTATCCAACAAATGAGAGAACTGTTAACTCAACAGCCTCAACCTCTTGAGTCCAATCAACGATTTGAATCCAGCCACCACACTCGGAATGTTGTAGAGGACAGTGATCCAGAGGTGGATGAAGTCATTATGGCTGATACACCTCCCAATGACAATAACGCTGGGGGTGGTTTAACGGATCCCCCCAATAACGATATTGGGGGTGGTTCAATAGCACCTCTCACTGGGGGTGGTCCAATTATCTTTACTCGACATCATTCAGAAAGAAATGAAGACGATGACGGGAAAATGCAAAAACTTGAAGACAAAATCAATGCTTTGATGACGGCTCAAGAAGTTAAGAAGACGGGTATTCCATGTCCTTATCCGAGGGAATGGGATTCAATACCATACCCGACCAAATTCAATCTGATTAACTTCACACAAAGTTCAATCTGATTAACTTCACACCGTTTGAGGGGAAGAGTTCGCCGATTCAGCACTTGATTTATTTCAAGTCTCATTTGGGCATGATCTCTGGAAACGAGGCTTTAATGGTCCGGTCATTCGTTGGCACCCTTCGTGGGCCCGCCTTCGATTGGTACCGACGGCTCAAGCCAGGGAGTATCAATTGCTGGGATGACATAGAAAGTTTGTTCCTCAGCAACTTCTTTGATGATGACGCCGAAGTGTCAATCGGAACCCTTCTAGATGAGAAGCAAAAAGACGGAGAGTCAGTTGACAACTTTGTCAAACGTTTCCGTAACAAAGCAATGAATTGCAGAGATCCTATCACGAAGGAGTTCATCCTGCAAACATGCCACAATAACCTCTCCATCGATGTCTTGGAAGCTCTGGGGGTTGTGCCATCCACAACTTGGAAGGAGTTAAAATCTCGGGGTGAACAAGCTGAGCACTTTCTTAAAAGAAAGAAAGCTGAGAGAGGCCAACCAATGACATCTGCAATCGTTGAGAATGCGACTCTCGATCCGAGGTTTCAAAAGGAATATTCTTTCGAAGATGATGAAGCTCCAGCCATCTTGGAATACCTCCTCGCTAATGACAAAATCGAGCTACCACCTATTAAAGATCAGGATGGTGCAACACTTTCTTAAAAGAAAGAAAGTTGAGAGAGGTCAACCGACGACATCCACAATTCCTGTGAACGCAACTCTCGATCCGAGGTTCCAAAAGGAGTATTCTTTCGAAGATGATGAAGCTCCAGCCATCTTGGAATACCTCCTCGCTAATGACAAAATCGAGCTACCACCTATTAAAGATCAGGATGGAGCTAAGATGATTACGGATCCAAATTACTGTGCGTACCACAGAAGGGTTCTTCATCCCACTGAGATTTGCTTTGGACTCAAAAACAAGATCCAAGCCCTAATTGACTCCGGCGTCATAACGACGAAAGAAGTCGAGTAAAGACGACCATACAACTCCAGTGGGTGCACGAGTATAAACTGTTTCCCCACACTCTGTTTCCCCACACTCCAAAGAGTATACGTGTATAAACTGCTTCTCGATTATCCAACTGAGTACAATGTTAAACCCGGTTTCGCAAAGGAAGCTGGGGGTGGATGATTTATATAACGGGAAGTTCCTGGAGAATCTTATATTCTTAAGGATAACCCGAACATGCGACTGAGGATAACGTACTCCTCATTACACCCAGTTTTACAAAGAAAACTGGGGGTGGATAATTCATGTAACGGGAAGTTCCCGGAAGAATGTTAAATGTAATATTCTTAGGGATAACCCCGATCATTATGAATGAAGTGATAAACACTAAACTCCTACTAAGACTTCCGAATACTCTTTTGCTGAGATGAGATTCGATCACCTCTCTAGATCAATCTTCCCTCACAAAATTCTCATCTTGGTCAAACCTTTAAACAGTTAGGACCAAAGCCAAAATACCTCTCGATTCATTCCGTGAATGAGAGGTCCACAAATTGAACGATCAAACTTTTAAACAGTTAGGATCGTCTCAAATTCCCATTTTGGTCAAACCTTTAAACAGTTAGGACCAAAGCCAAAATCTCCTCTCGATTCGTTCTATGAACGAGAGGTCCACAAATTGAATGATCAAACCTTTAAACAGTTAGGATCATCTCAGAACTCCCACTTGGTCAAACCTTACTACAGTTAGGACCAAAACCAAAATCCCCTTTCGATTCCTTCCATGAACGAGAGGTCCAGCTTCGATTTGTGCAATCAAAACTATAAAAGTTAAGATTGCTTCCAATCTCAATTGATCAAACCTTATTCAGATTCTCTGAATAGAAATCCCAATTTAAATTTCCTTTGTACCAGGAGATAGAATATAAAATTCTTCCTCTCCATCATCGGGTTTATCTCTACCAACAAACAAGAGACCAGGAGATAGAATATAAAATTCTTCCTCTCCGATTTCGGGTTTATCTCTACCAACAAACAAGAGACCAGGAGATAGAATATAAAATTCTTCCTCTCCATCATCGGGTTTATCTCTACCAACAAACAAGAGACCAGGAGATAGAATATAAAATTCTTCCTCTCCATCATCGGGTTCATCTCTACCAACAAAAAAGAGACCTGATTACTCCAATAGGTACACGAGTCTAAACTGTTTCCCTACCATCAACAGGAAGTTTCTGGAGAATATTACTCAGAATATTCTTAAGAATAACCTGCATACTCCAACGGGTACACGAGTCTAAACTGTATTCCCACCCTCAACAGGAAGTTTATGGAGAATATCAGTTAAAATATTCTTGAGAATAACCTGACTACCCCTAAACGGTTATATGCAGTGTCAACTTGACGACAAGAGCTGATTTCACAAATATAAGTTCCAGCTTTAATTCAAGATCTCTACAATGGACAAGCGATAAACGCGATGCCGGGAAGAATCTTAACTATTCTACAAAGCACTGAATAGATTGAGAGAAAAAGAGATCAAAAGTTGAAGCCACATATGGGTTCCTCTACACGATCTACTCAACCAAGCATTGAAAGGATCATAAGTAAGACCTATCTTATCCAAAGCATCCCAGAACTCCTCTATAAAAGATTGAGTCTGGAATACTTTGGAGGGGGTATCTGTAGGCGTCAAAAAATGCTGAAAGATATCCAAATACAGCTCAAGAGGAAATCATCCAAAAAGGCAGAAAAAACACAAGTCTTGACTGTCTCGCCGTGCGAGACAGACTTGACTGTCTCGCCGCGCGAGACAGTCTTTACTGTCTCGCCGTGCGAGACAGTCTTTACTGTCTCGCGGGCGAGACAGACTTTTACTGTCTCGCCCACGCGAGACAGTCTTTGCTGTCTCGCCGTGCGAGACAGAATTTACTGTCTCGCACGTGAAACAGTTTTCAGATGGTCAAAACTACCTTTGCACGAGACAGCAAACACTGTCTCGCCCGTCGAGACAGCAAAAGCTGTCTCGCGAACCTGTTTTCTGCCAACTGTTCTTGGAGGTTATAAATACCCTCCTAAGGCCATTTTTCCAGGGGGCTGATCATTGTGAGTACTTCAGAGCAATCCAGAGCAATCCAGAGCAGAGAGAGAGCAGAGGTGCTGATCTTACGGCCAATCCTTGATAATCAGGCTTTGACTTGATTTCAAGAAGAACGACTATCTTACATCGATAAGATATCGTTTCAATTTCTCACTTCGATAAACGAAGTCAGAATCATAAACCCCTCACGGTTCAATCAGAATCTGTGATTTGGTGGTCCACGAGTCAAAGCGCTCCCGGCACAGGCAAAGATCCCACGAAAGCAGTGATCCAAACAACGATCCTGCGTTTATTTTCTCAAGAGTTGTAATTTTCTTTTTGTTGTGTAAAAGAGTCTTATAAAAAGGCTGTTTTCTTTGAATTTATTGTAATCGACCGAAGATATAATGAATTCGACAACGAAACCAACTTTTGGCGAAAACAATGTGATTCACACTTAAGAAAATTATTTTCCTAGCTTTTTGGGAGGAAAACAAAGAAATGAAATGTTAATGAGATCAGATGAGTTGTTGCAATCTTATTGGATGATATGAGTGATTTTTAAATATGAGATGAGATGAGTTGAGTGATGTTGTGGATGAAAATAATATTTTATTAGATGTGATGGATGTGATGGATGAGTTGTTGGATGAAAATATTATTTTATTAGATGTGGTGGATGAGTTGTTGGATAAAAATAATATTTTATTAGATATTGTGGGTGAGTTTTAGGGATGGAAATGTGTGAAATTGTACTTTTTGAGATTTCTTGGTTTTTATTTTTATTTTTTGGTTTTTTGGGAAATAACCAAACAGGCCCTAAAGGGAGAACGATATAAGATATGATATGATTTGAGGAACTTAAGGTAATTAAGTGTAATTAACCCTATGGATATATCTTTAAAAAAATTTACCAAAAAATAAGGCTCCCAGTCACGCTGAAGCTTCGTCGACCCGTGCCTGGCTGCCTGGCCAAATTTCATGTACTTTCCAAAATATTTCTTTTTTAAGCCCCTTTTCTCCTTCTCCAAATCCCCCTTTTCACTTTCTCATAGTCGAAAACCCTAGATCTCAACCCACGTTCGATCATCAAAGCGATCTTGGAGCTGATCTGGTATCGCTCTCTTTGAATCGAACCAGAACCATCAATGGCGGATCAGACGGCGAAGGGCGACGATTTCGAGAAGAAAGCGGAGAAAAAGCTCACCGGGTGGTCCTTTTTTGGATCCAAAACCGATGAAGCCGTCGATTTGTACGAGAAGGCCGCCAATTGCTTCAAGCTCGCCAAGAACTGTAAGAATCTGTTTGTTTCGATCGGTTCGGATCGCGATCATCCAAATGATTAGGGGGATTCTAGAGTTTCCAATCCTTTTTATTGGTTCAATTATTGGTTAATTTTAAAAAATTCTTTTTGATGTATTTGGCTTAGGGGAGAGAGCTGGTGCCGTGTACATCAAATTAGCGAATTGTCACTTAAAGGTTTGTGCTCACTTGAATTCTCTACTTCGATTACTTAAGCTTGTTTAAAGTTAGAAATATTCATTTATAAGTGCAGTTGGATAGCAAGCATGAAGCTGCCTCAGCTTATGTAGATGCAGCAAACTCTTACAAGAAATTTTCAATGCGAGGTACTTGGATTTATTAGGTTAAGTAATTATTTTGTGGGGCAAAATCTCACGTAGCATTTTTTTAGCGAATCATCTTACTTTATTGCGTGCTTCATGCCTCTAAGAGCACCGAAGATTGATTTTGGAATTTTTTTATATTCATAGGTTGCAAGTAAATAGTGTTTAGTTCTTGATAACAGCTCATGCAGTTTGCATGATGCTTATGGTTGTGGTTTTGAGATTAGATTTTTTAAGAAACATGGTTAGCGTACTTACACGAATACTTTCTTTGCTCTTTTCTGTTGGATTGACTTCTTTTATACAGTGTTTTAATTATTCTGTGATTTCATATGGTAGGTTTTATTAACTAAATATATCCTTTTTCGCTTTTGGATCTTATCTATGAGGAGATGAGACTGTCGATAAGGCTGATCATATGGTATTTATCTATAACATTCATTTTCATCTTTGAACCTTATTAATAAATAGTTAATGTTGTTCTTTTATGATGAAATTAGATGGTAGGGTTTTTATACAGCATCCACATTTTACCTTTGATGACTGTTGTGCATCTGCTGCAGATGAAGTATGGATGGACGGAAGTGCATAGGCGAAAGGGTAAAGATCATTAGGCTAACTAACCTAGTTGGGTAAACATTTATGCTAGAAATATCCAGGAAATGATTATCTTTGGCGCAAAAAAGGCTAGCCTCCGACTCACAGCAGTGTTTTAGGGTAGCGTCATTGACCGTGAATTTGGCACCTTATAGGAGTCTGATGTTGTCTGGCCCTAAAGGTTTGGTTGGTCTCATGCGGAGCTTTATCGACCATGGGAAGCTTAGTCACCGTCCTGTTTTGGTGGAAGGCTTTGGGACCCTGGGTAATGATAGGAAGGGTAAAGAAGGATGAGAATTGGCCACGAATTTTAAAGCGGTTTTTCTAAGAAATGATATCGCTATGCGAGTCTAGGTTTCGGCCCATTAAAATGGCCCTTAACCTAGGGGGCATGTTAGAATATAAAAGAATGTAATCCTCAACTCTCACCATAACTTCGAAGTTTTGGCGTCATGGTTAAAAGGACTTAGTTTAAGAGCTTAATTGGCTATGATTGTGATTGTATGAAACTTATTTAGCCCAACCAAGGCTGGTAAGTGTGCACATGTTTTCACTGATGTATCATGTTATAGTGCTGTGGTTTTATTTCTCGGCTATTGGTCTATCTCGAATTACTTATGCGAGAAACTGAGAAATAATAAATTTTATTTCATTGTCCCAATAAATAGTTGCGCTACTGAATATGCATGCCCATTAAGATCCTATATTTTCTGAGTTTAATAGACGTAAAGTGCATTCACAGATGTCTATGGATTTTTTATGGAAACTTTTTAAAATTCTGTACATTAAAGTTTATAAGCTCGGCAGAATTGGTGTATCTTTAAGTGATTTCATTTATATGTTATCTTGGACTCCATTCTGAGTTGTGTATCACTCCAATCAAGCATCATTAAAAAAGAAAAAATCAGTTTTATCTTTCTGTTGATATTATTTCTCATGTCTTATGCAGATGCTGCTAATTCCCTGAACCAAGCTGTAAATCTCTTTTTGGAGATCGGCAGATTAAATATGGCCGCAAGATATTGCAAGGTAGCAGATCGGAGTACTTGTTGGACCTTAAACTAAGTGGAAAAGTTTAGAATATTTGTTTCCATATGCATTATGTTGCTAATTGCATTTTATTTAGTTGTGGATTATGTTATATATATGATCCCTCTGTTAACTGCTTATATTCAGATTATTATGGTGTCCTCGATCTAGATTTAATGAGTTCTCTATGAAATGTTCTGAAAGGTCATGCGTTTGCTATGCTGACCAAGGGTTACATGTGTGCGTAGGAACTTGGTGAATTATATGAGAAAGAACAAGACATTGAGAAGGCTATGGACTACTTTGAGCGAGCTGCTGATCTTTTCCATAGTGAGGAGGTAACAACTTCTGCAAATCAATGCAAGCAGAAAGTTGCTGAATTTTCTGCTCAGCTAGAACAGTAAGATATATACCTTGCTTGGAATAATTATTTAAATTTATCTGTTGAAGTTATAAATTAATTTTATTTGTTCACCATCATTTTGTTATGTAAAACTTTAAAATTATATCAGAGTTCCACTTTCTCCTATAAAATCTCATAATATTGTGAAGGGTTTGCCCACAGAAATGCACAACATTGCCAAGGCCTTGCATGTAAGTATCTATGGGCCTATGGCTTGAATTTCAACCTTGCAAGGCTAGATCTTACACTTTTGGTGATTAATCTTACAAGTTACACTTTACAGCACAAATCATACTCCCTTTAAAAGCACGAGTTCGAAAAATCTTTTTTAGATAAATATACCCCTTTATAGTTTGAACTACCTTATCTATAATCAAATTCTAATTTTCAATGGTCAATATTACCCTTCATTATTTTGAATATTTTATTTATATCTTAATCTATCCTAATCATAATCATATCTTATCCTAATCCTATGTGAACCATGTTTAGCTTAACAATTTAAAAAACTAATATTAATAAAATATATAAAACATAAAAATGATATTAGTTTGTTAAGATAAAGAAATTACAAGTAGATAGCATATTATAATACATGAAGTATTGCAAAAAAACCATAAAAAGTTTTAAAACTGCAGAAAAGACCCTGAAAAGTTCAAAATTATAAAAATTATCCCAATGTCTCAAAACTTAAAATAAAAAACATGAAATTAAAAAATTAACATCAGTTTGCAAAGAATTTAAAATTTACAGTTAACACCTCAATGTCTCAAAAATTATAGAAACACCCTCAAAAGTTTAAATTACAGACAAGCACATTAAAATTCTAAAATTTTAAAACTTACAAACAACACAGATGAATTCAACAGATTACCATGATACACCTAAAATTTTTGACATTTAAATTTAAATTTTTTAATTAGCACTCTTAATATCTCAAAAATTATAGAAACAACTTTAAAAGTTTAAATTATAAAAAGCCACCCTAAAATTCTAAAATTTGTAAATAACATAAGATGAATTCAAGATATTACCCTTAGACACCTAAAAAATTAAAATTTGCCGAAATTAACCTTAAAATTTTTAAAAAACTCCTTCAAAATTTAAAAATAGTAAAAAAACCCTCTAAATTTTCAAAAATTTTAACTAGCACACATCAAATTCGTCGATTGGTAGACCGCTAAAATTTAATATTTTCAAAATTAATCTATAGTTTTAATAATTGTAAAAGACACCCTCAAAATTTTAGAGTTACAAGAAATATACTAACATTTAAAAAATTACCACCAACACATGAAACATAGAGTTTACAACTACCAAACTTAAAAGTAAATTTTTTTAAAAAATCTTTCAAAATTTTAAAAATTACAAATCACACCCTCAAATTCAAAACCACAAAAATGGGCTAAAATTTTAAAACTTGGCAAAAAAAAGTGTAATTTTTTGGTATTTTTCATATATATATATATATTAAAATTTCTAATTTAGGGATTTACTATCCATTTTCAGCATCTAAGAATAGTCTAAGTTGATACTGGTAAACAAAAATAATAAGAATTGATTAAAAACATCCGGTTAATGGATAAAAATTTTAAAAATATTATAGATTAAAAATTATCGGCGCTATATAAATTAAAGTAATTTCATATAATTTTAGTAATAAGTTGGGGTAGCCAAAATACATTCGTAACATTAATTGATAGATGTTTAAATCCATAGAAATGATAAAACACTATAATATTATACCTTAGCATTAATTGATTTTAATTTAGAAACTTTAATCTTTGACGTTAATAATATTTATAGGGTAAAAGAATACAAGGAATTACATATGGAGAAACTATTAGAATATTTAGAGATAACTTTAAAAGAATTGAGTTATTTCCATTGCAAATGGGAAAGTGATGGAAATAAATCTAAAATTCAGAAAACGTCAATGAATCACTTGAATTGGCATTAACATAAGACATATCTATTAATGAAGCACTGAATGAGTTACATTAAAAAATAATTTAATAACTTTATCCTAATCAAAGAAAAAATCTCCATGGAAGACATAAGAAAAATTAGTAAGTATTCATAAATTCCATACTGTGTTCTTCAAATTAAATATTAATATTATAATCTAAGAAAAATTAGTAATGAATAATGCAGGTATTTATTTTAGATCTTTATGGAAAATGACAGGGATAGAGCCAAGGTAATATTATTGAAATAACAGAAATTCTTATTGGATGCACATCAGAAGAATTCATTTTAGAGGAAAATAAAGAGATAGCTTCTAATTTATTTAAGTAATAAATTAGGAACACAAAGAATTTTATATATATGAAATTAATATTTATTCTTATTGAAATAGAAAAAAATCAAAGTCTATATTTTGAGCAGTTTGTGTTGAACATCATAAGTACATTTGATTTTTTTGTAGAGTTAAATGAGATGATAAAAAATTAACGAGCCCAGGAAAGATAATAGCATAAAAAAATACAAAATTAGCCTGATGTCACAATTGATGTAGATGATAAAGACAATACTCTAGAATTGTCCGAGAAATGATAAATGATAAACCTGAAGAAGGATTGATCTTAACTCAATAAAAAATAAAATAGAAGAAATAAAAAGCAATATTTTCTGAATATTTTATAGAATAGTTTAATTATTTTGAGTGAAATTAGGAATCTTTAGAAGGGAGTTTCATGAATTTTTTTCAGTACTTTTATATTCTTATGTAGATGTTTTTATCATATAAAAGTATACTAGAGTTAGTATTAATCTTTAATTTATATTTTTTTATGAAGTCTATCAATGATTAGGAATAAACTTCATATTCTCTTTTGTATCGTTTTAACATACTTTAAATCAATCATTTTGCCATATTGGTTTTAAATATTCACATTCCTTGTATAATACTATTTTAATATTTTTCACTTTGCATTGCTATACTTTCTCAAATAAAGCTTAGTTTCATATCAGTCAAAAATAATATGAAAATTCAAATTATTTTTAAATTATATTTGTTTTTTGTCAATTCAAATATCAACATGAAAATTTAAATAGGGTGTATCCCATTTAAACAAATATAAAAAAATAATCGGGATGTAAGAGTTTAAAGAAAAAATGAGCATAAACTGTCAAAAATACTTAATCATGGTATTAAATCACGTGCATTGCACGTGTGTAAAAACTAGTACATAAAAACATAGCACCATATAAGTAACTGACACCAATCCTTATCATGTCAGAAATCACAAATATGTCTGATCTTGAATACATCTCTAGTCAGGAGACTGAGCAGCACATTATCATGGAAACCTTGTCAATAACTCATCCTTGTTTCAGACCTGATTGATCTATACTTAGATGACCTTTCCAATCCGTGTGATCTATAGGATCTGGAAATATCTGATGAGTTCAATGCATAGAATCAACACAATCTGGTATCATCGGGGATGTTTGGATAGAGGACTTCCATTTTAGAATTTACGATTTGTCATAAATCCAATAAATCGTTAATTTTTCAAAATCCTCACTTTTTGCTTGGTAAGTAGGATAATATGATAGAAAGTGTATATTATCAATCTTTTATTAGTTTTGGTACAAATTAGAACATGTGAGTTAAGACTTTTGGACCCCACCTTGAATTTAATAGAATTGGCCTGGAGCACTAGCTGCTACTACGATGTGACCAGCCTTTCAATTTCTTAATACTTGTTTAGCTTTCTTTTTACACTTGCGTGGGTCCGTTTTATTTTTCTTTTTTACTTGGACGACTTCCTCACCAAAATTGCAGCTAATTGTGAGGATTTTCTCACACTTGATTTTGCTTAGATGTCATCTAGAATCCTCATTAATCTGCACTTCCAAATTGTTGCAACCAAACACAAGATTTGAAGTGAGATTTTCCTCTGACAATTTTTGACTGTTGGGCCCATACTGAAGAATTTTTAAAGCTTCCTTGTAACCAAGCAGTGCTTTACCTGATTTGAGATCAGCTATTGGTATTCATAGATATGCAATCTGATCGAGTTGTGGTATTTAGTCTGAAATTAAGCAAGAATGTTAAGTTTATGCATAGAAAAAAAATTTATGATATAAATATTAGTAGACCCTTCGTACTGTTATATTATGCACTACCGTGCAAGTAGTTGGAATATATCTTTTTGATTTAGATATGGATCTGAGTAAAAGTTTTATATTGATTAACTGTAGATCTGACTTTAGGATAAGGCTACCACTGACAATATTGAAATCATGATAGATTTCAACTATGGTGCCAGAAATCAAATCATCAATATGGTGAAAACCTTGATGCTTGCAAGGCTTGCATATATGGGGATTTATGCAAGAAAAACTTTGCAATTGTTCTCTTCACCTTGCATCCATTCATATCTTTCTTATACTGTATATACACAATAGACTACATCTCATGCAATAAGGCTCGCAAAGCTAAATGTTTTTAAACCTGCATCATTATACATATAATACTGTTGAATTGCTTTATGGTTTGTTCACTTAAGAGTCCTCTACTTACGTCAGCCTGCAGGCTTTTATTTGGTTGTAATGTGCATATTTTCAATTGTGGTTTTGGCATCATGGTTACGACTTATTCTTAATTTTGTCTCGTGTTTTAATCCGATTTTCTGTTTATAGATGTGTAGTTACAGAGATGACAACTCATGTTATACTTAATGTTTGTTATTATTTTGAGCATGGGCTTTATAGTTTATTTCGAATATTTAGCTGTTGTATAAGTAAAAAGTTCTCCTTATTCTGTTTGCACATCCCACATACATTTGCTACTCTCTCCTTACATCACATTGAACATAATAATGATCATGTTATGTTTTCAATAGTACTTCTGACTTCTTTTCCAGATACCCAAAGGCAATTGAGATCTTTGAAACAATAGCACGCCAGTCGATGAATAACAACCTTCTTAAGTACAGCGTTAAGGGTATTCTCCTGAACGCTGGAATTTGTCAACTATGCAGAGGAGATGTTGTAGGAATTACAAATGCCTTAGAGCGATATCAGGTCAAAGTGTCGCCGCCTTTTAATTACTGGAGCTTGCATCTGTGAAGCTTTCAGAAGAGAATCTAAGCCTACTGGTATTTGTTTGTACAGGAACTTGATCCAACCTTTTCAGGGACACGGGAATACAAACTTTTGGCTGTAAGTTGATTTACAAGATTTTATTGTGCATTTCCTGCTAATATTTTGCTCCATCGATGGTGCAATTTTGAAATTATAAATTAAATTATAGATCCCTCACTGGTTAGTTACCCTTCCTACATTGATCACGTATTATATGCACATAAGTGAATAAACTTGGCATCCTCTTACTATGAGATAATATTGTCTTACTGATTATCGTTTATATTACAGGACTTAGCTGCAGCAATTGATGAAGAAGATATCGCGAAATTCACTGATTGCATCAAAGAATTTGATAGCATGACAAGGCTGGTATGGTTTCCTTCGATTATTTAATGCCTTGTGTGTATAGTTTCACTTCTTTGTAGCGCCATCCTGCTTTAGGATTTGCATGGTTTGCATACACAATCTGGTTTTGATATCAATACATTCATCTAATTGGAATTTTGAGAAAGTAAAATACAAGACGATCTTCTCAGATGTAAACAATGTAAAAGATGTTTGGATGAATTCTGCAATGAGAGCATGCTTAAGTGATTTGCTTATTGCAGTTAATGAAGCGGAGATAATTAGTCACATAATGCGAGCTGCTTGTTTTCATAATGTTACAGTTCATTGCATGCTTTAGCCTATTGTTGATAACTTGAAAGTTTGTTTGATTGCTAAGTTTTTTGGATTATACCTGTAGTCAATTACCAGAACTAATATGCATTCCCTCTGATGCTAAAATGCTGGTTTTTTGCTATTTCATTCAGTGTTGTCAATGCGCGAGACGCAATGCTGTGCGCAAAACATCTTTACACGCACATGCGTAAGGCGCAACGCAATGCGCGCGCCCGGGTGACGCGAGGCGCCCACCACACACATAAATTCTCAATATATATAATCAAGCACGAAAGAACATGTTTTTAGAATTTACATGAAAAATATGTTAGGATAAATAATATATTACTACAAAATCACAATATAATACCTCAATTTCTAATGCTAACCCATCATAATAGCAAAATGAATAAATTTTCAAATTAAATGTTAAATCAAGACTAATAAGTAATATCCAAGCAAAGGATTAGTAATGGTCCTCAATTAAAGGCTACTAAAAAGACCTAATGGATTTATTTTGCTTTTTGGGATATGAATTATCAAGTATAAAGACTCGATTGAAATGTTTACAAACAAAATTATATGAGGATGTATACTACATGCACCCTGCACAAAGTAAGGATGTATGCAAGGCACAAAAGACGTTGCATCAGACGTGGGGCGCTTCGCCACCGCTCCGCACTGCAAGGCGCATGAGACGTAGTTAGGCGCGCGCCTTTGAAAACACTGATTTCACTTTGTTTGCTCCTTTGACTGGGTATGTTTCCTTACAACAAATTGATCATTTATTTTCAAACATCCCTTCTTGCAACTGTATCTTACTTCTAGAGAATTTTAGAGGATTTCTAGTTCGTTTGCAGCTGCCGTGAGCTAAAATTGCATCACCATTAAGAGAGGTGTTTGTAGGGTCAAAAAATTAAAGTTGATTGATTCTTATTTTAAGAATGAGATCTATCACTTGGTAAGAACCTTTTACAATCTCTCTCTCGATTACAGAGGAAGAGAAGATATATTTGACTTCTCTTTTGTTTAAGGAGGGTTCTAGGTGGTGAGAGGATGCTTCACTCGATGCTTGAGTCGAGATTACTTCCCGTTGACGATCATAAATAGATCACGAACGCTCCTGTTGGCTGCTAAATGATTTCCGAAGTGGGATTTTGCCAAAAAGGTTCCAAAAGTCCCCCTTCTTCATAGCTATTTATAGAGATTTAGCACGTAACTGACGTGCTGAAATCGTGGGTAGAGGGCGTAACTGTCTCCTGCAATTTAGCCCACGTGTCTGACAGGGTCCTCGTGACTGTTACAACTTGATTTAATGTGGGTGACAAGCTTCACTGCGTTGGCGAACCTCGTCCTTGATGTCGAGGCTCGTTGCGTGACGAGTATCATCTTTGATGTGGAACCTCGCTGCATGGCGAGTCTCGTCTTTGACTAAGACGAGGTTCGTCATTGTGATGAACCTCGTTATGTTTGAGTGAGCTTTGACACTCTTTTGTCTCTTGGCATTTTTAGTGCCCACAAGGCCAAATAATTAGCCGATGATAATAATCTATGAAGCTCAATGAGAATGGAGGAGAAATAGGCTTTTTTGACTAACCTCTGAATCCCCCCTCTTTCTTTTCTCTATGGCAAAGACCTTTTCTCACCCTCCTTTCGTGTTGACAATGTCTATTTATAGGCTTGAGAGCATTATGGAGTGAGTTAATGAGCTTTAATTCCCTTTAAAATGAGGGAGTTAGTGGTCATTAACTCCTATTTAAATGAGTGAGTTAGTGGTCATTAAGTCTTCTTAAATGGGTGAGTTATTAGTCATTAACCCTCCTTAAATATAACATCTAAAAATGATCACAGACGAGGTTCGTCAATAACGGCTATGCATGAGGTTCGTCAATAATGGCAACGACGAACTTCATCTTCAATGACGAACTTCGTTTATGGGTGAACTTCATCTTTAATAGCTGACTCCAATTGCGTAGCAAGTCTTGTGAATTTCCTTTGACGAGCTTCCTCTTCATTGACGATCTTCTCCTCCAATGATGAACTTCAAACCTCGTTTCCAATGACGAGCTTCGTCTTTTGATGTCAAACCTCGCTGCGTGGCGAGCCTCGTCTTTGACTGAGACGAGGTTCGTCATTGTGATGAACCTCGTCATGTTTGAGTGAACTTCGACCTTTCAGGCGAGCTTGGTTCATGCAGGCGAGGTTAGAGTATGCGGGCGAACCTCGCATGCGAAGCTGTCAGGTGAGCTTCAATCAGTTCAGGCGAGTTTCAAGCATTCAGACGAGCTTGACTCATGCAGGCGAAGTTCAGTGTTCCTTTGCGGGCGAACTTTAGCTTTCAGGCGAAGCTCAGCCTTCAGGCGAACTCAAGTCTTCGCAGGCGTCGAGGAACATAACTCACGAAGTTCGGTTTGCCGCCGCCCGTTTTGCCAAATTCCCTCCGGTTTGAGAGATATCAACGTTTTTGTCCGCCTTTAGGCGTTCCTTTGAGCTTCTTTGTTAGGAATTGAGGCAATTTTTATTGCGTACAGTGTTCTTAGCTCAATTTATATTTGTAGCAAGCATCTTTCTCTCCTTATCCTTGTACAGGTATTGAGCACCGTTTTTAAGAGTTGATGTTGGCTTGATGGTTGGCTATAAATTGCATTTCCTTTGTTCTCCCATTATCCAATGGTTCCCCCTAAAAAATGCTGGCTCCTCGCCTTGCAGTGCATATTTTCTTAGTTTCCCTTTCATGTGTTTTAGTTGTGCCATTGTCTGTTTGAAGGCATGTCCATGATCTTTTGTATAAATAAAACTGAGAGTCTTTGCATTGTGTTAGCTACATCAATAGCTGTCTAGGGAAATACTTCCTTTTTTTATGGACAACTTAACGCAGTCTACTTTTTGCATGGTTGGATGAGCTAATTTTTGAACGCATAACATTCGACTGGTGTAGTTCTCTGCCTGTAGTTGTGTCTTTTAGGTGCCCTAGTATCACCTGCTTCTTTGCTAACTCACTAATTCTTAGTTTCTTTCATGTTTGTTGACCTTCAAAATATGCTTGAACCCTTTCTTGGAGCTTTGACTGCCTTCTTCATAGGCAAACCCTTTTCGCTGTGGATACACATGCATTTTCACAGATGAAACCTTTTGGCTTGGATGACCTGGGAAATCAAGAGGCACATTGTTCTTGTGATCTTATGGAATTCTGATGCAACTGATATTTTATGCCCATTACAAAGCCATGCAAATTTAATAACCAAAAATTGATTTTTCAGAGAGCTACAATTTTTGATTATTTGTGAACAGGTGTAGCTATCAGATCACTTGTTCAGATTGACTTGAACCATCATGTATCATATTACTTTCTATGCTTGTTATTTTTCAGATCAAAATCTTTAATTTTTCTTTGAAAAGCTTGCACTGGACTTTTGATTATTAGTGAACAGATGTTGCTATCAGACCACTTGTTCAGATTGGTTTACTCAAATCATCATGTACCATATTACTTTCTATGCCTGTTATTTTTCAAATCAACCTTTAAATTTTCTTTGAAAAGCTTGCACTTGTTAAATTTTGGGAAACTTATGTATAGTGGAGATCTTTTTTTATGATGACGATTCATGTAGCCAATCCTATGAATTGGTTTAGACAGACATGGCCTTTATTTTATCAACTGTGAACTTATTTTCATCATTTGTCATATTGTCGACTCCCTTATCTCTTGCACTGCTGATAAAATGCAGGATCCCTGGAAAACAACACTTCTGCTTAGAGCAAAGAATACACTCAAGGCCAAGGAAGACGAAGAGGATGATCTGACTTAAAAGAGCTCACTTAGATCTAAATTTATGTGCTGCCATTTGATTTGTTTTACTCAGTTCGTGGTGCTTATTTCTACTCTCAGTTTATGTAATTAACTGCAAGCACATTGGAGATGTACGTAAGGTTTGAGAATGCATATTATGGATTGATATGTTTTCATTTTTTGTGAATTTGTTTCTTTAATATGTTGTTGCTGATAGGCATTATCAAGACAATGAGGAGATTGGGTTTTGGATTTAGTTTGGTTGATGTGTGCTTTAGATGAAGTTACCGGTTGGATGTCTTCAGAGGGGGATATGTACAACTAAAATTCTCTTCTGTTCGTTCGTTTTCCTTTTCATTCAAAAACTATGTGAACGAAACTATCATCAATTAATTTACAAGAAAAACTTGGTATTTTAGCTATTGGTTATGGATTCTGATATTAGGATGGTGTCTGGAACTGCAGATGTCTTGAGCATGTACATGCGACTCCTTGTGAACTGCCGAGGTAAAACCCCCAAAATTTCAGGGAATTTGTGAAATGAACCCTTAATATTTACTGTAATTATTAATAAACCTGATGAACTAGAAAAGTGGTTCTCCTTATTCAAATCAACGATAGTAACAACTATGTCAAAAGAAATACATGTATTACAAATAAAAAGGAACCATGAAATGTGCACACAAACTTACATGTAGGTAGCCTAGGGGTGATGCAACCAAAATTAATTAGGTTCCGTCAGCATATCTTCAAAAGATTTGCTGAAATGCTCACAAATATAACATCAGTGCCTACCCTCGATCCTCCATCACAGTCTTCCTCCAGTTCAAAACCTAACCGAGAATGTCACTCAACCATTACGGCCACCACCATCGTCAACTCCTCAAATCACCTCAAGAACCCGGTAACCAATTTATGGGTTCAAGCAAGATAGTCACCATAACATTCATCACACTGTTCTTCACTGCAATGGCATACATCCTCATCGATCTCGCCCATCACTGCCTCTTTCGTCTCCACCGCCATCGCCAGCCTCAAGAAACTATAGTAGTTCGACTACATCCAAACAGCACCTTGTCACAGCGAAACCCGATGACTCAATCTCAGCTTGATGCCATCCCTGTAGTCATTTATTCGCGCTCTTTAAATGATACGGAGGAGACTTGCTCAGTGTGTTTAGGAGAGTATATAGAAGGAGAGGAGATGAGTGTCTTGCCTAAATGCAAGCATATTTTTCATAAGGAATGTATTGATCGCTGGTTGACCACAAGATCCAGCTTGTGCCCAATTTGTCGCGATTGTTTGTTCGAAAGGAGTGAAGTTAGTTTGCCGTAATGGGAGATTGAAGTGGTTCCGTCATCAAGAATGCAGCCTGTGCATTGATTGTCGTATAGACTTTTTGGCTCGTATCAGAATGTCAATGTCAAGAATTGTTGTTTACATTATGCTTCACAGGAGCAGTACAACCAAACGTTGCCTTTCAAATTTCTGGGCGAATTCTGACAACAGGCAAATTTCTGTTTTCGAGACATGTCAGATATTAATTTGGAGATGAATATTCCATCACATAATTATTCTTACACATGATCTCGGGTTTTAGGCTATTGCCACTTGTTTCTACTAGGGGTGTCCAAAAAGCCCGGAGCTCGGGCCCGGCCCGGTGTCCGGCCCGGGCCCGGAAACCCGGGCAAAACCCAGGTCCGGGCCCGGGCCCGGGTCTTTGACCGTTTTGCCCCTTAAAACGGTCAAAAAACGGCTATTTTTCGAGGGTTTTTTGGTCATTTACCTAGGGGGCTGCTTCTATAAATAGAGGGGGGGTTTCAATTCATTTTCTCACAACAAAACTCATCTATTTCTCTCTCTACTACTCTCTTATACAATCTTATACTATCTCATACTAATATACTATCCTATAATCTTTTGTATTTTCTAATACTTCCAACAAATGGCTTCTGGGTCTGATTATGAAGAGCAACATGCAACTCCTACCGATCCAGAGATGAGTCCTCCTAGGCTCCTACAACAACTCCTCATCCTACCGGTGTTAATCCTGAATCTGGTGGCAACGAATCTACGGCACCAAGAGCTCCAAAAAGGCCGAGGTCTGATGTATGGAATTTTTTTGAGAAGATAGACGTCACCAAGGATGAACACGGTAGGATCATCTCTCAGAATGCGAAATGTGCGCTGTGCGGCCAGATATTCAAAGCTCATCATAAGAGCGGCACCAACCATCTCAAACGGCATATTGAAAAACACAACAAAGGCCAAAATCTACAAGGTGATATCCGGCAGTCTATGCTTTCCCAATCATCCTCATCAGGTACCCTCGGCAGTTGGAATTATGACGCTGCCCGAGCCCGGAAATGCGTAATCAGGTTTATTGTTCTTAAAAACCTTCCTTTTAAATTAGTAGAAGATGATGAATTTGAAGATTTGTTTAGAGATGGTTTTTATCCTGCATTTACAAAATTTTCTCGTCAAACCTGTCAACGTGATATTTTAAAATATTATGTTGAGGAACAGGGAAAAATAATTTCTTATTTTAAAAATTTAAACTGCAAATTTTCTTTAACTTCTGATATTTGGTCATCTAGAGTGCAAACTGGTTATTTATGTATAACAGCACACTGGATTGATGAAAGTTGGCAAATGTTGAAAAGAGTTGTTTCTTTTATTGCAATTGAAGAGTCACACACTGGTATTAATGTTGCAAATTTAATTGTTGAAGAACTTATGAAACTAGAAATTGATCAAAGAATATTTACTCTTTCACTAGATAATGCAAGTAATAATAATGTAGCTGTTGATTTTCTGAAAATAACTTTGTCATTGCCATGTCATGGTGAGCTTTTTCATGTTAGATGTATCTGTCATATTTTAAATTTAATTGTTCAAAGTGCATTTTCTGAAATTAAACCCATGATAGAAAAAGTTAGAACAGTTACTAATATGCATAATGCTTCTGAAATGAGAATTAAAAGATGGAAACAATGTTGTAAAAGAAAAAATTATAAGCCTAGACTAATTCCAAAAGATGTTGACCATAGGTGGAATTCCACCTATGCAATGTTATCTGTAGCAATAGAATATAAAGAAATTATAAATGATTTTATAAATTTTTATGCTTCTAGTTCTAGCTCTGGTAGTGCTTATGGAATAACTGAAGATGAATGGACAGTTATATGTAAATTAAATGAGATGTTACAAGTTTTTTATGATGCTACTATGTTATTATCTGGTTGTTATTATCCAACTATTACTTTAGCTGCTTTACAAATTTTAAATATTCAAAAAAATTTTGCAAAATATCGTATGGATGATATTTTTGGAAATATAATTTTTCAAATGGAGAGTAAATTTAATAAGTATTTTAGGCCTATTCCTCATATTTTTGGTATTGGTGTTCTTATTGATCCATGCTTGAAGGAAATTGGCCTTCGAAGTTTGTTACAATCATTGTATGGTGGACAGATTATAGACTTAGATGATGGATCCACCCTTACTGCTACTACTCATTATTTAGCTATTAGAAATTATTTTCAAACCTTATATGATGAGTATGCAGCTAGATATGGTGTAGCTACACAACAGTCTTCAGCTTCGGCACCTTCAGCTTCGAGCACAGGTCGAGGTAAAAGTGTAAGTTTTGATAGGTATGCAATGGTAGCTGAACTAACTGGTGGATCTGGAACTTCATCAGGATTAGATGTTTCTGAAATAGATGAATATTTTTCTGCTTCTTTAGTTAGATGTCAAGGAAATGCTTTAGATATTTTGCAATGGTGGAAAGTATATGGATCAGTTTCATATCCTATACTTTCCACCATGGTTCGTGACTTACTATCAGTGCAGGTTTCGACTGTAGCCTCGGAATCCGCTTTCAGCACAGCAGGACGTTTGATCGACGACCACAGGACATGCTTAGATCCGTATACTGTACAAGCGGTGATGTGCTTACAGGATTGGTGGAGATACGAGAAGCGAACACAAGGCATCGAACGGATTGCTATGATTGAAGATAAATTTGAAGAGTTGGGACTAGCAGATAGATATAATGATTAGATAATATTCATAAAATTGTAATTTTTATTTCTTAGCTTTAAATTTGAATTAAATTATTTCGAAAAAAGTTGCAAATGATAGTGATATGGGTGAGTAGGTGCCAACCTAGTTGGGATGTACTCATCTATTGTGATGCGACGAATTTCGAAATAAATTTATACTTGTAAAGGATTTGTAAAGGATTTACCGATTATTAATAAAGAAGTTATTTTTATCATTTTTTGTACTTGTAATTTATGTCATTTCATTTCAAGTTATTAATAAAATTTATGACATTTTTTATAATAATTTATAATTTATGGTTTTGTTAAAATTTAAAAAAATAAAAAAAAACAAAATTTAAAAAAAAAAACAAACCGGGAAAAATCAAACCGGGCCGGCCCGGTGTCCGGCCCGCTCAGGCCCGGGCCCGGGTCCGGGCTTGGGTTTTGCCCGGCCCGGGCCCGGTTTCCCGGGCCGGGCCGGGCCGGGCCGGGCCGGATGGACAGCCCTAGTTTCTACTACGTATCTTGAATGTAGATAAAACGGATACATGTGGTAATCGCCGATATTTTTATCTAATTAATTAGCTTTTATGTGGTTAAAATTAAAATATGAATGATCTA